ATAGAACAGATAGGAGCAGCCTCATATTCACAAGCTCTGGTCCTCATGGGGGAATTCAGCCACCCCGATATTTGTTGGAGGGGCAACGCAACAGGGCATAAGCAATCCAGGAGGTTCCTGGAATGCATTAATGATAACTTCCTTCGCCAAGTGATAAGAGGAACCAACGAAGAGAGATGCTATGCTGGACCTTATCCTCACCAACAAGGAGGGACTGGTGAGGAATGTGAAGCTCAAGGGCATCCTTGGACGCAGTGACCAAGAAATGGTAGAGTTCAAGATCCTTAGCACAGCGAGGAGAGTGGACTTCAGGAGAGCAGACTTTGGCCTCTTCAGGGATCTGCTTGGTAGAGTACCATGGGATAAAACCCTGGAGAGAAGAGGAGCCAGAGAAAGCGATTAATATTCAAGGATCACCTCCTCCAAGCTCAAGAATGATGCATTCCAACAAAGAGGAAATCAGGCAAAAACACCAGGAGGCCTGCATGGATGAAAAAGAAGCTCCTGGACAAATTCAAGCACAAAAGAGAAGCCTCTGTAGCGGGTGGAAGCAGGGACAGGTAGCCTAAGAGGAATACAGAGAAATTATCTCAGCAGCCAGGGATCAAGTTAGGAAAGCTTGGAGACCTGATTACCTGGGATATGGAGCAGACTGAGGTTCTCTATGACTTTTTTACCTAAGTCTTCACTGGCAAGTGCACTAGCCACACCACCCAAGTCACAGACAGCAGAGGCAGGGGCTCAGAGAGTTAAGAACTTCCCACTGCAGGAGAAGAACAAGTTTGGGTCCATCTAAGGAACCTGAGGGTGCACAAGTCCGTGGGATCTGATGAGATGCATCCATGGGTCTTGAGGGAACTGGCAGATGAAGTCACTATCCATCATATTTGAGAGTCATGCCAGTCCAGTGAAATTCCTACTGATTTTAGAAGGGGAAACATAATCCCCATTTTTAGAAAGGGAAAAAAAAGAAAGACACGGGGAACTACAGGCCTATCAATCTCACCTTTGTACCCAGCAAGATCATAAAGCAAATCCTCCTGGAAACTATGCTAAGGCACATGTAAAATAAGGAGGTGATTGGTGACAGCCAACATAGCTTCACTAAAGGCAAATCATGCCTGACTGATTTGGTGGATAAAGGAAGAGCAACATCATCTACCTGGACTTGTCCAAAGCATTTGACACTGTCCCACACAACATCCTTGTCTCTAAATTGAAGAGACTTGGATTTGACAAGTGGACCACTCGGTGGATAAGGAATTGGTTGGATGGTCGCAC